GCTCAATCCTATGCATGCTTACTCAGAAGTAAGCTCCACTGTATTTAACAGGGCTTCCTTCCAGGTCAGTATGCATAGGATTGTAATGCCAATGCACTAAATACTTGTCTAAACATAAATCTAGCTATGGTTATAGTCCTATACATACTGATGGAGGAGTATGTTCCACTGAATTCAGTTGGCTTTCTAACTGAACATGCATAGGACTGGGTGGTAAATACTAGGGATGGAATAGGAATTTATTTGGTCAGCATTTTTAAAGCGAATTGACCCACTTTGCTGGTCCTAAGCTTAACTGCAGATTGAAATCTAATGTCATTTTGGTTCCAAAAATGGATACAAAAATGTGCAAGGAAAATGCATATTTTATAGGGGGAACATGTGTACAAAATGCATTCTTTAGGAGAACATGTGGACATTTTCAATTCACATTTTTCATGGTGGGTTGTTTTTTTTTAAACACAGGCACAGAAAACAGGGGGACTGGTCCTATGATTGAACACGTGAAAAACTGACACAGAATGACAATAGGCTGATCCATCCATCCCTAGTAAATACCCATCTCCTCTTAAACAAATAGAAATGCATTTGCCATTCTACAAAAGTAGTTTTTAGTCACTTTCGGCCTTGATACGCCTACTTTAGATAAAAGTAAGAAAACCTCTCTCTCTTTTGTAATAAAGGTTTCAATCTAAATTTAGATAGAAACTTTTCAGGAAATTAGTAATATTAACCTGTTTCTCAGAGTTGTAATTGTCAGTAGCTGGAAGGGCATAATGATGGCACACAGAGCCTGATAAGTTGTCCATCAGCTTCAACTCTCCTTCTAGAGATTCCTGGATCAGCAGTGATATGGTATCAAACAAGTGTCTTTCCTGGGAGGAGTGCCATATAGCATGCAGAAAAGGATAAGCCAGGTCAAAAGAGAGAGGCAGAAGCGGGGCAAGGTAGGGGGAGTGGAAGAAGAGAAAGAAGAGAGAATGAATGCATGAGAGACAGAAAAGAGGAGAAGAGACAGAAAAAGAAAAAGAATGTTTTCAGACAGAACAGCAGTTGTTGAAATGGCCAGGAAGGGAAGACAGAGACAGAGAGGGAAAAAGAACAGTGCAGTAATACCACAGTCAGAACCTTTCTTAGACGTTGCTACACACTAGACCAAAACTAAACACGATAGTGTCTAAGACTGGTGGGACACATTACATTCATTCATTCGTAAGTGGCTACTGATAGAAATATTTCTACTTTGCAGAGCCAACCTACTTGATAGCAGGGAACAAAACTGCAGCATAGCTAAACAACAATATGCACAATTTAAAATGGTGGTGGGGATGGGAGCCCAGCATTAAGCCTGAAAAAAAATAATCCACACTTTGGCATCACTTAACCATGTAAGAAACAGAAATGGCCTTGAGAGATGCTGGATGATTTGCAGTTGTGCTCGGTGACTCAAGTGTTGGCCCCTCTGAAAATTAGGCCACTGATTAAATTTTCAAAAGCACAAAAAGTGACAAAACTCAGTGGATTTCGACTTCTGCTTTGTCTGCTGGTGCTGTTATGCATAGTGCTTGCAGTGTGGTTGGTATTTCCCAAGGCTAGGTCCTATACTGTGTAAACAATCTTTGAAGGCTGGAGTCGCTTGTGTGACAGATCACAGCCTGTGTGATAGATCACATGGCTGCCAGTGAATCTGTCACCCTGCATCAGATCACAAACACAGATATGAGGAGTACCTACCTGAGTCTGGCACCCAAATGTCACTGGATTGTTGTAGGATCCATCCAGACATGGGGAAATGACAACCCAGCTGATTTGGAAATCTGAACTACACCTCAGGCTTTTGCTACTAGCTGGGGAAAAATTCAATTATTCTATACCGCAGATGAAATCTAAATACTCTGATTTAAGTTATTCATGGCCATAACCTAGTTCCCTTTGACTTCCATTATGATTATTAATTTTGGGGTTTGTGCGATGCTGAATAGTCCAGTCCTATGCATGCTTCCTCAGCAGTAAGACCCACTAACTTCAATGGGACATATTGCTGAATAAGTGAATTTAGGATTCTGTAGCGCCTGAGATAGTCCAGCAGGAAGTTTGGGATTCGGAAGACCTATGAGCTTTTGAAAATTTTAACCCAAGTTCCAAATGACAGGCTCCCAATTTCAAAAGTGTCTTCTCAAGTGCTTACACCTGAATATTAATACATAGCATAAAAGCTTCTCAAGCAATATGATGGCCGATCACTTAAAAGCAGTACTCTCTATGCAGGCAAGTATGTATGATGACATATACCCTTATGAGCACAGTGCATATACTTTACGGAACATGCAAGCAAAGAAGCATGCTGCCAGTCACATAACTTTGCATGGCTACATTTTAGGAGCTGTATTCCTCTTTCATCATGTGCTCAAATAACCATGTTAACACATAAATTTCCACTGAAAAAAGAGTTCTGTGGGGCGAGACAGTCACTCATCCAAAGTTATGGCTGGGACACATCTGAATAAATGTATTATATGTATACCAGACATATAGCTGAGAGAGTGAGTGGGTATCTTGTGCCTGTTTAATGCACTTCTTGTAGCCACCTGCTGCACATCCCTCATCTCCCATCAGCATAACCTGCCAACTCATAACATGCTCTCATGGCTCTCATCATTGCAATCCTATACGGACATTCAATTTCATGGTCTGCACTTGGCTGAATAGGGATTTTTTACTCACAGGAAAAAAGGAATACAACTCCCTTATTCATTAATACACTCAAGACTTTTTGGAATCTGTGCAAATGCTATCTGAGGAAAGTACTAGCTACTCCCCACTTCACCCACCACCTAAGATTCTCACCATAGGATGAACCAATGAGAGTTGAGAATCCACCTTGATTTGCATGGGATTGGCATATCCTCCGGGGCTCTCAGGTCTTTCTCCTGCATTACTGCCTGCCCATATGAAAGGGTCAGAGGGCGGATGCTGGCCCGGGGTGATTGTCTTCATTTCCATCTCCAGTTCCAATTCCAGTTCTGCTTCCTCTTTCGCTTCCTTGTTACTTTCCTCTAGGTGCTTCATGAGTACAGCAATCACCACATTCACCAGGACAAACTGAGCTGTCAGCACAAATGATACGAAATAGATTGGCGAGATGACGGTGTTGTAGCAGGTGGATTCCTCATCGCAGTCTCGCAGAGTGTCCTAAAGGAAGGAACAGAGGGACGGGAGGTGGGAATAGTCGTGGCTTATGAGAGAGCTCTGGGCAACTCTATCCATGAATCAGATTGGGCTTTTCAGCTTCAAGTCCAAAAGGTTTTTTATAGGGGTGAGCAAAACCCACTGTAGAATCTCTTCAGGTTAATTTCCTTCATCCTCCACAGAGTTTATATGGAATTTCTGGAACTTGTTTACCGATGTCGGTAAACCTTTTCTGCCAAACTTAGCCTTCCTAAACACCCCATTATCATGTGGAGGGCAGACAAAGGCTTCTCACTCATACAAATGGCCAATGCACACAACCTTGCCGCAATAGCTGATTTCTGTGCAGACATCAACATGGAACTATTCAGCACTGTCCTAGCATGAATTCCTCAAACCATAAGAACATCTGTCTTACTATATCAACACTCATTCTAATGGGGATTTTACCTTCATTATCCCATTCCAGTTGTCTCCTGTGGATACACGGAAGAGTGTGAGAAAAGCCATCCCAAAGTTGCGAAAAGTTGCATGCCGCCCTAAGCCCTCACAGGGATGAGTATCGTCACATTCTGTATGACCAACCAAAAATAAAGGCAATTTAGCTATTTGTTTTCTTGACAAATAACTACGTCACTCTGCCTTATCCAATTCTATGCAACAAACTGGTGGAGCAGAGAACTTACCAAGGTCTCCAAACAGCTCCACCCCAAGAGCTGCAAATATGAAAAACAACAACATGAAGAGAAGACCCAGATTCCCCACCTGTAAAGAGAAAAGAAAAGGAGGGAAATAAAAAAAATCATTGATGTATTTCTCTTAAGTAACCCCCATTAGACATCGGAGATGTACCACATTAGCCTCCATTGTATAGGCTGCCTTTGTCTCTTTTCCCTCAGCAACTTTAACAACTCCTGTCTAACCACTAGTAGTAGCCCAGTCTCATGATTTACTGGGCCAGTGAATAAATACAAAAGCTTCAATCCTAGGCAGGTGGAGAAAAAGCATACAAACAGATAGAAATAGTTTCAAGAAAGTTTGTATTGTTACCTGGCTGAATAGTCAAAACCTATTTTTGATGGAAAACTGGCTTCCCAATTCTACTGGGCAAACAGTTTTAGTAAAAAAAAAAAAAAAAAAGATTATGCATTTAAAACTATATAAACAGAGTACATAGTCTTGCCCTGTCAAGGACTGTCATTTAATGTTGCGCACTGTCTGCTGCACAAGCACAATACCAGATCGTGCACAATACAGATTGTTGCCTTATGCCCACAATGTTGCATTGCCATTCCCGAACAGTTCCACCTAGAACTCCAGGGCTATTCAATTTCCTCTGGTTTTGAGAGTTTCTATCCCACCTCTAAGAGAAAAGCAGATGGCCATTGAAATTCCATTCCAAAGTCAGAGTAATTCTAGATGAGGGATAGCCAACATGGTGGTGCTGTCCAGATGTTGCAGAACCCCAACTCCCATCAACCCCAACCTGGTCAAGACTGATGGGAACAACATCTGAAGAGCACCATGTTGGCTACCCTGCTCTAGACTATCTGATTTATTTGTTTAATTTCTGCTTAGAAAGACAGCAAATACCTTGTTCAGTCCACCACATTGCAAACTGCTGTGGGTCACACAATACAGTCTACTTTGAAGTCCACCCCCCTGAAAGTTAGTTCACCCTTGAAGTGCCACTCAGTGACTTCCCTACAATGCCTCCTGTTCATGAGGAGCACTGATCCTGCCATAAATCATAGAGATGGAAGGGACCACAAGGGTAACCTAGTCCAACCCGCTGCAGTGCAGGAATCTTTTGCCCAAAGTGGGGCTCAAGCCCACAATGCTGAGACTAAGAGTCTCGTGCTTTACCGACTGAGCTACCCTGGCAGTCATACGTAATGTTGTCTTTATATTTTCTCCTGCTCCAACAATTTAAAAGCAACCCCATGTATTAATTTCCTTTTTCTATGGTTTTGTGGTTTTTAACACTTGATTGGGAGCTGCCCAGAGTCGCTGGGGAAACTCAGCCAGATGGGTGGGGTATAAATAATAAATAATTTATTATTATTATTATTATTATTATTATTATTATTATTATGGTGGATTGTTTCTGACCGTGCACGACCCCAGCCATTTTACCACAGGGAAGTTTCCTCTCTTACTCCTTTCTGCCACTGTTCATTGCATTGAGCTACTGGTTTGTTTTGAGGTGTATGCACACAGCTGTCAAAACATGTATTTAACATGAATTTAGCTTTAAAAAATAAAATAAAAATAAATCCCACGACTGAGAGGAAGAAGCATTCATGTCCTGCTTGTGGGCTTCCCATGCTGGTTGGCCATTGTGAGAACAGAGTGCTGGATTAGATGGGTGGCCTGATCCAGCAGCATTCTTATTTGCTCCAAACATATGAAAGGCAGCATGTGAAGAATGAGGCTGAGCAGAGGATAAGCTAAACTAAACTGAGATTTGAGCAACTGTGATAAAGCATCTTGCCCAATCTGGAGATCCCCCAACCATTAGAATGAACACTTACTAAATTCATAGTAAAGGTAGTTCTAAGCACAGAGAAAACACACATAAGGGAGATATGCCAAAACAACAACAACAACTCACAGATTTCGCAAGCAAATTAGAAAATGAGGGCAACTCAGCAGAGGTCTTTATGATAAAGACACAAAGGTTACCTGAGGCAGTGCTTGCATCACTGTGTCCAGCAGAGCTCTCATCCCTACAGCCATCTTCAGCAGTTTCAACACTGCAGAAAATGAAATGTCCTCTGCATTATTGTCACACAATCGGCATGTGAAAAGGAAATAAATATTTCAGAAAGCATATCAGGCTCCCCAAGTGATGTGGCAAGCATCCTTCACTAGAGGTGAAAATGCAAGGCCGCATTATAATGAAGCGCTCTGTTGTTGTCAGAATGTTTGTAACAAGTAGAAAAACCTGCGAACATCATGGCCATCTCCTTCACTCACTAAATTGGGTGCTGCTGACACTGTGGCAGGAATACAAGAGTGACCTTTTCTCCTGGTGGTGACTACCGCTGCTGAGTAAAGTAAACTGGTTTGGAAAGGTCAGAAATCTATCTGATATACTGATGACAGAATTCAGCTTCAAGCTAAAGAATTAAGAAGCCAAGTGTATCCCCATCGATTTCCATCACAAGAAGACTGGATAAGAAATAACATGAACTCATAACCTTCAGAACTAAGCACTTCATAAGCTAAGAACTAATGCCACCAGCTCCAGACATTCTGTAACAAAACCCTTTAGTGCTTTGTTGCTTGGAGTTGGTACCACCACCCTACTGGGAATATAGATGGCAGATGTTCATCTAGAGTGCCTGAAGGCCAAGCAATTCTGGTCCTTCCCTGTATGTAATGCCTGCCACACAACTAACTGGTCATAGCAGTGATGGAAAGAGCTACTTCTGAGTAAACACAAGACTGTCAGTCTAGGACTAGAATGATCCATGTTCAACTCCCCACGCAGTCACAGAGGCCACTCGGTGACCTTGGGTCAGCTGCACTCACTCTCTCAGCACAAAGTGTTGTTGCATTGACAAAATTGGGGAGAATCAAACCTTGCACATCACATTGAGCTCCTGGGGGGGGGAGTGTGATATAACCCAACCCAAAATGACTTGCAGGTAATAGCAGGACGAAGCACATTGAGGTGTCTATTAGCTAGGCAGTTTATGCTTGGAAGTATAGCTGTGTTGCATAGGAAACCTTACAATGCCGGGAATTAACAGTTCCACTGGGAACAGAAACTGTGTGGCTGGAATGCCCCAGGAGTAAGGGGAGACTGACCTCGAGCAATCCTCAGGACCCTCATGATGCGGATAATGGTGGGGTTGATAGGCAGTGAGGCATTCACCTCAATCTCTTCCAGCGTAATCCCCATGATGGACAACAGCACTATCGCCAGGTCTAATTGGTTCCACCTGAAAGCGACACAAAAATCAAGCAGAAAAAACTGCTAAAATATTTGCATTGGTGACAAAAGGATTCCAGTCATTTCAGTTATTCCGGAACTGACTCATGAACCGATGCACCACCTCAAGCAATTTTTGTGATGAAACACGTCAAACAATTTTAAAACTATTATATAGAGTACTATTATAGAGTTAGTCAAGTCTGGATATATCACTGACTAGAACAGAAAATGCAAAACCTAAAATTCTTTAGGACTTACCTGTCTTGAAAGAACCGACGAAACCCAAATGCAATCAGCTTGAAAACAGATTCCATGACAAAGATGACCGTGAAGATGTAATTGCAAATCTTCAGAGCTTCATCAAGAACCTGTAATGTGGAGACAACTCACAGGTTATTGCAAAGGAGGATTTTGCTCCCTGCAGTTATTGGCCTTCCTGCTTTCAACAGGAGCCATTATTATTATTTTAATCTGAAAAGGCAAAATGAAGAAGGGGCAGGAACGCAGGCATATCACAACTCCTGCACAGTGTTAACATTTAAACTGCTGCTGGCTTTCCAAGTGGCAGTGACAAAACCAGGCTCTCCTATTTTTCATGAAACCTTATAACAGAAATGATTTGCAGCTGGATAGGAGCTGAGTTCCTGTACAGCTGGATTGATTTCTTACTATTTCAGAGGAAGGCATCCTGGATCATGGTATCAGTGCTGCTTTTGAGCACAAGAGAAAATGTGATTTTGTTCTTTGGAGCACATGCAGTATTTCACATGTTGCATTATTTAACACATATGAGGAATATCGCCTTCCACGCTTGCAACTGGAGATACGTATCTACACTGGGCAATATTTGATAATATAACATTATTTAGGATTGTGCCAAACATATCTATAAGATATACAAAAACCATAAAATACAATTAAAACCAAAACCTTAGTACTAAGCCCTGCCCCCCCCCCCCGTCACCTGCCATAGTCTCAGCTGACTTGAAACGATCTGGGCTGGGAGTGGGGAGAATCTAGAACACAGCACTGAAAGACAACCAGGAGGGCAGGCAGCAGAGCACATCAAAGGTACATGGAATTAGAGAAATGTGTAGCAAGACTGGCTGATAGAATTAATAAAACTAACTGTGTGAAAAGCAAAAGCTAACTTGTGCCCCTCTGGTTCATAATCAGTACATGCCACTGAGCAATGCTATAGTTCAGAACACATCTAACATTAGCACAAGGTAATTGGATCATCTAACAAGCTTCCCATAGTATTTACAAGATGCTCCTGTCACGTGGGTCATGCACTGCCACCTTAAACATGGCGTTTTCTCCCGTTGATTTCTTTTTAATTGTTTCACATTACACATTCAAGTACTATTTAGCTACACTGACTGATTCACCTTTGCTTTCGTCTTGCATTTATTCCTTGGCTTCTCAAAGTAGTAGGGAACAAAAATAAGCAACTCTACGCTAATTGGCAGCCATTTCCATCGAGCTATCATAAGCAAGTGATTTGGCAGATCATTGCAAGCGGTTTGCCATTATAATTTGAATGTGATCCTAAATACAGGAGTTTGGCATGCTAATGTATCAGGGACCTGCTGCCTTGCCAAAATGCTGAGTCACCACAGCAGAAATAAAGAGAGGCAACTGGGTTTTGGTCCAGCTGCATATTAAATCCCTCAGGCTGCCGACAGATCTAATGCAGTAAGATTTGAAAGATTTCAGGATTTGATCTATAGATCATTTATTATTAATATTATTATCAGTTTCTTAAATAACCCCTCCTTTTTAGGGAATCTGCTGAAACATGGAATGTGTGTGTGTGTGTGTGTGTGTGTGAGAGAGAGAGAGAGAGAGAGAGAGAGAGACCCAAAGCCCAAGTGCCTTTTCCAGCTTTTTGGGGGGCAGAATTTGGTAGTCTCCTGTTAAGGATACCAGCCATTTTGATATGAAATTTTTCATATCTTCTCTCTTATCTGCCACTTTACATGCAGATTGAACCGCCTACTTGTGTTATTGAGATCTTCCAATTCTAACTTAAGTGTCTAATTGTAGTTTTTAAATTGTTTTGATTTTATCATATTTTGTTGTAGTTCCTGCAGCATTCATATTGTGCTCAGATTACCCAGATTTGCCACCATTTCTGCCTAACGGTCTTTTAGCTGCTTTTGGGGGGGAAATTAACTGGGCTTTTATTTCTTCTTTCACCACCACAGCTCATGTTGCTCATGTTAAAGGGGCCTCCCCTCAAAGTGATACACAGAAGAGTAAAAGGCAGACAATGCCTCCAGAACAAAACAGCATTAAATACTGTTCAAACTTCCCAGAGTGCAATAAGATACAATAAAACACAACCCCAACAGCAACTCCAAGAAGCTTTTGGTGAAAAGAGAAGTTTTCAGTATGCACCAAAAGCAGAAGTTCATTGGCACATGCCTCATTTCAGGGGGAATGAGGGCTGCCATTCAAAGACATTTAGGGCTTTGAAAATCTAAAGCAGCACTTTGAAATGGAAATGCAGAAACTGACATCCAGCAAAGTTCCCTTATAATAATTTGGCTGCTCAGGCCGGAGATTCACTGGTATACAGGGTAATCAGTGGAGGATGACTAAATTTTATGGCCTATTGCTATAGTTAAAACTTACTCTGAGTTAAAAGAGATAAAACTGACAGCTCTGGAAGTCCCTTCCAGCCCTCTCATTTGCCTCTTCCAATCTCTTTGCATTAAAATCAATGCACCCTCCCCTCTTTACTCATCGTGTTCTAAAATAAATGGCCTCAAACACTGTTTTGTTTCTCATGTTAGCGGAGGACATTCTGTGCTGCTTGATTTTCTTTGCTCTCTCAGTCACCTTTCCACGAATTGCTCTGGGAGACCGTGATAAAATCTAAGGGCCAGATTCAACAAACTTATCCCGCAAGTGGAAGCCAATGCAAGTACTCCCA